TCCCGATGTTCTCGACACTTGTCTTTGACCTCCTGAATGAGACGAAATGACAAAGGACCTTAAAAATGGGCAGCAGCGGCTTCCTATAGTCACGGGTAATACGCTCGTTTTTTATGAACAGCTCCATCTCAGAGTCCGAGAGGCCGCGGGGGTCCGATCGACTCCTCCCCCTTACGTTAGCGGCTGTGGAAACGCCAACAGACGGGCGACGGTTAAAAATTGCAGCTGCTTTTGTACGACTGTACGGAGCCGCGGTGAGATGGTGAGGCGAGCAGCTACGTGAAAATTGGTATCTAATCAATGTGTGCTATGCCTTTGACCTAGGCTAATCTTTGAACCCTGGGATGCAACGATGGTTCCATCAATGGAGCCACTAACTCTAAAAAGCTAGGTTTTCTCAGAATCCCTCATTACCCCCACCGAAAGGGCTCCATTACCCCCAAAGGGGGCATGCCCCACCATTTGCCGACCCCTGGTCCAGAACATAAACAATATCAGGCTACGCGCAGGGGCGGATCCAAGGGGGGGGGTCACATGGGTCATGGCCCCCCCCCTTGAGGCCCGGGGGCCCAAAGACCTGCCAGGGGCACCACCGGCCTATCAGGGGTATCACAGTCCTGACAGGGGCACCACAGGACCGCCAGGGGCACCACAGGCCTAGCAGGGACACCACGGGCCTGGTGCCCCTGGGCCCTGACAGGACTGTAACGCCCCTGACAAGCCTGAAGTGTCCCCGGCAGGCACGTGGTGCCCCTGACAGGCCTGAGGCGCCCCTGCAAGGCCGGTGGTGCCTCTGGCAGGCCTGTTGTGTCCATGGCAGGCCTGTGGTGCCCTTGCTAGGCCTCTGGTGCCCCTGACAGGCTTGTAATGCCCCTGGAAGGACTGTGGTGCCCCTGGCAGGCCTCTGGTGCCCCTGACAGGCTTGCGGTGCCCTTGGAAGGACTGTGGTGTCCCTGGGCCCTGACAAGCCTGAGGTGCCCCTGACAGGCCCGTGGTGCCCTTGTTAGGCCTGTGGTGCCCCTGGCAGGCCTCTGGTGCCCCTGGCAGGTCTGTGGTGCCCCTGGCAGGTCTGTGGCGCCCCTGGCAGACCTGTGTTGACTGGTGCCCCTGCTAGGTCGCTGGTGCCCCTCACAGACCTGTGGTGCCCCTGGGCCTTGACAAGCCTGAGATGCCTGGCTATGACAGGCTCGTGGTGCCCCTGATAGAACAGTGGTGCCCTTGCTAGGCCTGTAGTGCCCCTGACAGGCCTCTGGTGCCCCTGCTACCCCTGCGCCCGGAGAGGACTATGGTGCCCCTGAAAAGCCTGAAGTGCCTCTCGACAGGCCCGTGGTGCCCCTGACAGGCCCAAGTTACCCCTGCGAGGTCGGTGGTGCTCCTGACAGGCCTCTGGTGCCCCTGGCAGGTATGTGGTGCCCCCCTGGCAGGCCTGTGTTGACTGGTGCCCCTGCTAGGCCGCTGGTGCCCCTCACAGGCCTGCGGTGCCCCTGGAAGGACTGTGGTGCCCCTGCCCCTAGGGGTGCTCATGGGCCCAACAGGTCCGTTGTGCCCCTGACAGGCCTGTCGTGTATACTTGCTAGACCTGTGGTGCCCCTGCTTCCTGGCAGGCCTGTGGTGCCCCTGCTTCCTGGCGGGCCTGTGGCGCCCCTACAAGGCCGTAGGTGCCCCTGACAGGTTTGTGGTGTCCCTGGAAGGACTTTGGTGCCCCTGACAAGCCTGAAGTGTCAAGGACAGACCCTTTAGACGCCAGGGTCAAGTTCGTCGGACTGACAACGATTCGCTTACCTGATAACGTTCCTGGTAAGTACTCACTACTCAGCGTCCACAACATATATACACATAACACATTCATATATACTTGCTTACAATTGGTAAATGTGGTTGTGGGTAAGAGTTAAGATACTGACTAAAAATAAAAAATAAAAAAACTGAAAATGGGGGCACCACCAAAATTAAGTGGACGAAATCCGTTGAGTTTTTTAATTTTGGGTATAGGTAGGGGCACCACTTCGATTCATGACCCTCCCCTTGGAGTTTTCCTGGATCCGCCCCTGGCTACGCGACACCTTACCTGGTGGAGGCCTTTCGCCGGCACTTGTGTTACACCACAGAGGCCTGTGCTATAGGCGCCACACACACACAGACAGACAGACGTCCCCACACGGCACACCCGACACCGGAGAAGGTGTGGCTTCCCTTCCCACCTGGTCCGCGCTGGTCTGCGGTGGTCACCGGACACCCCGCGCCCCGATCAGACGGTCTGGCGGGGCCCTCGTCACGTGAGTGGGCCCAGTTGTCGGTGGCAACCATGCAGCCGGGTCACGTGTGTGCGCGGAGGGCGGCGGCCAGACCGGCGCAGGTCACCGAAGGGTCACAGGAGGCAGCACTAACGACGGAAACGGTAGGTCACATACGAAGAAAAGGCCTCGGTTAGCTGCTCAAGTTTTCTGCTGTTTTCATCCATTCGCTTCCCTTGAGTAGGTACTACCTAACGAACTGTCCAACCAATAACCATTTCCTCTTACTCTAAGCACATTCTAGGACGCCCCTGTCAATATGTGTTTTGTGTAAGGCCAGCGTGAAACAATAATTCTTTTGCCATAATTATGAGCGGTGTATAGTCTCTCTTGAAAGTATCGCGTCAGGGGCTGCGGCGGCTCGGCGAACTATTCCATTCAGTTTGGGGACCCCAGCAGTGAGGCTATGGCCTGTATCATAAAAAGTGCGCTGTAACACGATTCTACGCCAGCGGTAGGAGGAAAACTGCTATATGACGCAGGCACCAGCGGCTGACAACTGCAGGTCAAAACAGGCAGAGGCCGGCCAGAGGTCATGCTCGTATCGCTCTTCCTTGACCCCGTCCCCCGCCCCAGGCGGATAGCGGCGCCGCCTGGGCTCACCAACCGGGCGCTCGTCGGTCTGCCTTAGTGGGCGCCAATCACTCAGTGTGCGTGACGCGAAAATCACATCGAAGCAAAGTTCCGCCATAATCCTACTGTAAAGAGGCCTGATGAACGACGTCAACAGGTCATGAGGGGGGGGGGGGGGGGCGGGGGCAGCCTGGCATCAAATAAGGCTTTTAAAAAAGAAGACGGCTGAACAGTAAACATTTTTTTTTGTCGCCGCTCACTAACCAGCTCATTAAAAAGAGAGAACTCCAAATATACCTAGGACTAATTGGCTAGAGAGCAAATTGGCGAATTGGCTAGAGAGAGAGAACTTTTGCTTTTTTAACCCGTTCGCGGGTCTGCAACCACGGATGCATTCTGTTAGCGGGTGCAAGGGAGTGCAACCGATGTTTTTTTCGTATTCGGGCACGGGATTCCGGATTTTACAACAAAAATATGTGACAGTCGTGCCGATGACGGCTGAAATGATTAACTTTGCAATGAAACAAAGCTCAACAAATCCTCTGCGAGTAGGTCGGTTTCCGTTGACTACATGCTTACTGCCATCACCAGTTAGCGGACGGCGGCTCCCACCTCCCCCTATATCCCTCCGCAGTCCGTAACCACTCCCCTCGCCACGCCGCTCTGGCTGCCTCCGCGCGTCAGGCTTCGGTCAGTGCTACCAGCGGCTCTCAAACTTTTCCGCTCAACCGCGGCTGGGACAGGCAGCGCCTTCCCTCAGAGTCGCGATACTTTCAAGAGAGACTATACCTACCTATTGGTCGCCATTTCCTAGTTGGGTGCTGACGGTGCTGTAAAACCGGCTTACTGCAGCGACTGCAGCCACCTCTGTTAGAGAGGATAAACATTGATTTGAAAATCAGCCGCCAGATGTCAGTAGCGAGCCCATATGTCAGGGTTTGTCTACTCTGTAAAAACGGTCAGAGTGATGACTGATGACATCAAATGTAATACATCGAGACGGATGCGTAACGAAAGGTGAGCATCGTTCACCCTCGGCACGGCACCACGAAAATCAAACTGACGGACAAAACGTGGTTCCGTTCGATCTCTCCCCATCTGTCCGTTGTCTCGCTGCCAATAGCGGCGGAACACCTTCAATTAAGGGGGGACCCTTTTGAAGTTGAAGTCCCATTCGACTTTTGGTCCTATTCTTTCCATGTAACGACCATTGGGCTAATGTCAAAATGGCCAAATCAAGGGGTAGGCCAGGTGCCCCACCCTCTGTTCCGCCGCCTATGCTCGCTGCCCGTATGTTCGTTCATGTCTTTCATTTCATCTGTTCTCTCTCTCTCTCTCTCTCTCTCTCTCTCTCTCTCTCTCTCTCTCTCTCTCTCTCTCTCTCTCTCTCTCTCTCTCTCTCTCTCTCTCTCTCTCTCTCTCTCTCTCTCTCTCTCTCTCTCTCTCTCTCTCTCTCTCTCTCTCTCTCTCTCTCTCTCTCTCCTCTCTCTCTCTCTCTCTCTCTCTCTCTCTCTCTCTCTCTCTCTCTCTCTCTCTCTCTCTCTCTCTCTCTCTCTCTCTCTCTCTCTCTCTCTCTCTCTCTCTCTCTCTCTCTCTCTCTCTCTCTCTCTCTCTCTCTCTCTCTCTCTCTCTCTCTCTCTCTCTCTCTCTCTCTCTCTCTCTCTCTCTCTCTCTCTCTCTCTCTCTCTCTCTCTCTCTCTCTCTTGCACAGTTGGAGCATAGTTGAAACTAATTTATCACCGCACCGTTAGGCATCATTTTCCGACAGGGGGTTCACTCCTACGTTACAATTCTCTCCCCTCCTTTATCTGCCTGCCCGTTTCCCAGCTATCCGGTTCCTTATCCAGCTCCGATCGGTTTATTCGGCTCACTTTCTCCGACTTTTTGTCAGAGCTCAGCTAATCATGCGGCCCCTCCAATCTCCGTCCACAAATACCGGCACTGCGGCTGGCAGACGGGGCCGCCTAGGCAACGAGAGACTCCGAGACGGTGTGGATTGCCCACAGTGCGGTCTTCGTGTGGTCTTTGGTTCGCCTCACAAGCGCCGTATCGATAGCGACCTGTGTGCCCCGCTGCGTGCTGCGTGTAGGACGGCCTGAATCGGCGACCCGGCGCCCACTTAGAGCGGGCCGGTCCGCGGCCTCGGGCGGGCCAAGTGGGCCGCGTGTCCGGCGCGTCGGAGGCGAGCTCGGAAACGGCGCAGAGAGACCGATTGTCGGAGAGCGGGGTGGATCAGAATGGTGGACCGTGTGGAACTCAGTGGACTCGTCCTGTGATCTGTGGAACTGCGTAGAGTTCAGTGCGGTGCTCGGAGTTACATTCGATGGATTATGCCCGTCCAAAGCGAGTATCTAAGGTCAGATAACGCGGCTGCCGCTGCTGTAAACTAAACATAAATAACCTTTAGAGAGCGCACTGCATACTAAAGAAACAGCTTAATTTGAAAATAAAAATGATCCTCGGTATCTATAATATGCAAATAATATACCTTTTAAAGCCGTTGACATTTTTTAAACAGAACTTTATAAATATTTCTGATCATGCTGTTTTTATTTTATGCATTTTATGGATGGAAACGTTTGCTGCATGCAACACGTTGTTGGAAAGGCTTTTTAATTGGTGCTTGTTTTTCCCTTCTTCCGGTCACGGATGGATTGCGTCTCCTCATGATTTCCGTAAATATCTCAGCAACGACTGTTAGACCGATGGAAATATCAGACCTTCACTCTAAATATATTATGCATATAGTGGGGAAAATCGCACTCTCACGCAAATTCGTGTTATACATATCTTGATAATCGGCATCTCTAAGGGCCCACTTTTTACGACGCTCTTTTTTGAGATCATATAACAATCTCATATCACGCGCGCATTCTCTATTGAATGACACTTGTTGCAGTAAAATCATTCAATAAACCTGGTAGTAGTGATGGATCAAATAAACCGATGAAAAGGAGGGTAATGCCCTCGTATTATCCCCCTCATTTATATCATTTTAGTAGGTAGTTCCAAAAAAGAGCAATCGATCGACCTTTCAATTTAGGAGATCGGCCCAATAGATCTGGAAATCTCCGGGGAAGGGGCTGGATTGCGTTCTCCTCCCCCCGCGCCCAGCCCCTAATAAGGGTTGTCTTCCTGTCCAGGAGCCTGCCACTAATAGGTCGAAATCAGCCATAATACACCCTAGAAGGCGTGGAACTTAAAAAGTTAATAAAGGTCATCAGAGGCCATCGTCAGGTTATCAAAGGCAAATGACGCCTGCCTGACTTAATTGCGAGCCTCACTTTTTGTTCGACTTTTTTTCTATAAAAAAATGAAACGAGGGAACTGTCCATCCCTAAAAGTGCGACATTCTAGGTATATGAATGCTGCGCTGCCGTACTCATCAAGCATCGCTGATATACAGTTGTCAGACGGCAATGAAATAAAACACAGCTAGATATGCATAAGCCTTTATTTACATTTATTATATCTATAAATTACCAACTGATTTACGAATGGTTTACTTCGTTATTGGCGCTGCGTATATGTGTATATAAATTATCTATAGGATAATTCCAACGACGTTTTACTGTAGACCGCATATAAATAAGATATTTGTGGGCAGGTTTTATGGCTTCTCTCATGCATGCAGAGTTACAGACTATAAATCAAATGAAACATGACATATTGATGACCAATGGTGTGATTGCTGCGGCATGGTGGGACAAACTTCTAGCATCATGCTTCAAGTGTTTATTTTATTTTATTTATCTAAGGCATAGACCTCTGTACACCGTACAGAGGTCTATAGGTGAAGAAGAAGAGGTGTACAGAGGTCTATGATCTAAGGAAATCACCAACAGGGAGAAGTCCCTCTGACAGACGAAGTCAGAGATAAAAGATAAGTTTATCTCTGTTAACCTTATTAACCCTCGCCGGACCTATTGGTTTTCTACATACGCGCCGGCCGAGGGGGGGGGGGGCGGGTACGACCCCCCCTCGCCGTTTCGCCCCTGGTGGAGCTAGCGCGTCGCGGAAAAAACGAGCGTGTGCGCCGTTACGAGACGCAGAGATTGGTACCCGATTTTAAGGTCCTAGGTCAACCGGTGACCTCTGAGGTCAGGTCAAGTGCCCCAAGGTACGGCTCAGTTTTTGGTGAATAACTTCGCAAAAAACGGCCGCAGAGCCGCGATTTTAGCAGCATCGTGTTCGCCTCGCTCAGGCGCGTCGAATGATATACTTTTTGTCCGGGTCAGGTCAACCTGGGGTGTTGACCTCAGGTCAAGGTCAGGTCAGCACCCCCAGGTCACGAAGTTAGCCGAAAGAGGTCATGTCGCATATCATTCGATTCGGCAGGTCTTCCTGAGTCCATTGGTGGCTTTCTCGACTCGCTAGCTCAATTTGATCAAGAGTTATTGACGAAAAACTAATATGACCTTGATGACGTCATAAATGACGTCACGCAAGGTCAACATTGCAAAAGTGACGCATCTAACCTTGCAAGGAGTGCATCAAATCACGATTCTGTGTGCTTGAGATAGTTGGAGATCGTTCCCGGCGCCAGAATAGCAGTTTGAATTTTTCCCCATTGACTTATAATGGTGAGGTCACAAAAATGACCTGACCTCATATGACCTTTAGGAAAAATCCGAGATATACAAGTTGTGAGACTCATAATGGATACTAGATCCTGCAAGTTTCATTTCCCTGTGACATCTCCTCTGGCAGTGAGGGCGTTGCGAAGTTGCGACATCTGAAGACCGTGCAGAGGTTCACTTATGACGTCATAGATCAGTGACCTGACCTGACCCAAAAATGCGGTTGGTGTCAAAAGATCCGGCTTGAATCAAAGGTCAGGTATGCCAAGTTTCAGCTCTCTATCGCCAGCGTGCTCGGAGCTATCGCGAAAAAAACCCTATGGGGGGGGGCGGCACCCGCCCCCCCCCCCTCGGCCGGCGAGGGTTAAAGGGACTATCCCACCTTTAACATGGGGTTTGAGTTGAGATAGCCAAGTTTGCGGCGAGGTTCAGAAACCACTATCTATCTAGGTTGCAACCCCCGCGGCCTCTTGGTGTTGAAAAAAATCGTTCCCTTCATTTGAAAATGGGCCTTGTACAAGGCCCTATCTTCAACATGGAGCGACCGTTAGTGTGACGTCACCTCGTTTAGTCATTCTGATTTAAATGGGTTTGTTCGTTGAAAAATCGCTTAAAACTTGGTCTGAACTTTGTTGTGGTGCCTACAGAGTAAAAAGAATCAGCTTTATGACAGTAATGTGGCCTGGGGAAGGAGGTAATTTTGGGCTGTGACGTCACACATTTGAAAGTTTGTGTTTGGAATATGGGAAGCCTAAGATGTTTAATGAAAAATAAATGCCAGAACCGTGTTCCTGGTCATCCAATCTATAAAGTCGGGCACAATTTAACTGGTTTTAACAACATTTCAGAAGGTGGGATAGTCCCTTTAAAAGTTTGATTCCGTCCAAGACAATTATAATAATAACATCATTTATATCACTTCATTTTGACTATGTTTCGTGACGATCGGCGCACTAGTTTTAGAGATAATGCGAAAAGACTGGAGGAGGGGGGGGGGGCAAAAAATAGCCCCCTACCAGGGCACGGGTTAATGACGTTTTTTGTATTGCGGCTTACCGGGTGTCGCTACGTGGCCCAAGAGCCGGGGGGGGGGGGGGGGGTTCAGACACCCCCACCCCCAGCCCGGCGCGAGATATATGCTGTTTTCACGACGGGTGATCTGGAAATGCACTTATTTGACCAAATCTGCACCAAACCTCTTTTACAACAAATATTTTCTTATCGTGACTTTATTTCAGTGTTTTAATCGAAACTAACTTCCGGCAATCAAAAAAGAGTTATATAAGCATTTGTGAAACAAAAACTGATAACTTTAAAGAAACACAATGAAACTAATTTGACCAGAACTTCCCCAAATCTGCATCTAATCTGCACCAAATGTGTACCAGATGGCCGTCGTGAAAACGACTAATAAGAAAGAGCGAGAACGGGACTGTGGGCTTGTGCAATGTTAAAATGCGCATTGTCAATTGGAATTGCGAATTTAGTTAGGACGTCTCCGTACGATGCCAGCGCTTCGGGGCATTTCATAATGCACATCCACACCTGAAACTGGTGGTTTCTATCCGAAGGATAGCTTAGCTTGCTGGTCAACATTCGAAACTGGCTGGCCATAGACCGAGCGTTATGTAAACAAGAACACATTCCTGATCCCGGCATCAAGTCACGAAATCTTACATAAGACGTCTGTGACTTCTGCAATTCCATTCGGTGCAGGTTACACAACAGTGCTGTCTGTAGTGTCCGTTGGTCACCAGTCACCAGTCACATCGCGTGCCTACGTCCGTTGGAGAGTTATATGGAGTTGATAGCATTACCCGGCCAGCTCATCACGCCTCTGCAGAGGTATCGGCTGCGTTACTAAATTCTCAGGATGGCTCAGGATAATTATTCCAGAATGGCATCGAAAGATAATGTGTTTATTGACTGAGAGCATTTGTTCTATGAAATGTGTCTCTTCTCGATCAGCTAATTACAGAATCATATCAGTCATGTGTGTCCGTAAGCTAATAAAAAATATCACCGGAGCTCTGCCAGAGGGCATTGTTTATCCGTAATATCCCACACTAGTCTGAAATCCATTTTTCCAGAAAAGGACTGTCATGGAACTATAAAGAGCCGACTGAATGTCAAACGATCAAAATCAGAGACATTTGATCGATCGATAGGAAATGAACGTTAACATTATGCGTATGTAAACATTATGTTCTGGTCAGGGATGAGGAGCCGTGGAAATGTCAGACGACTCCGGCTCTGGCTTCGGCTCTGGAGAAAAAATCGACTCCGGCTCCGGCTCCGGCTCCGAGAAAAATGGTCCGGCTCCGGCGGCTCCGGCTACGGTTCCAGCTCCAATACTCAGTACATCCCCATGCAATTAAGTACGGATGGAAGAAAACAAGACTATGGGATTGGTGCACGTTGCTTCTGTAATTGCATAACAAGGCGATTTCTATATTTTGAATACCGCATGTTTTACTGCATTGAGCTGTCAATCCGAACTAGGTCAATAATTTTTTCCTCTTCAAAAAAAGGAGCCGGAGTCGCCCGCTTTTTTGACGGCTCCGGCTCCGGCTCCGGCTCCGGCCGACTATATTATTTCACGGCTCCGGCTCCGGCTCCGGCTCCGCACCCCTGGTTCTGGTATACATATGAGAAAAAAAGCATGCTTTGTTACACAAGAATGACTTCAGCGAGCTGAACGAAGTTGGCAGCGTGTCTGTCTGCAACGCCATCATTGAATGGTAATGCCATATACGGAAGAAATTTGCATATTTTTCTTGTTTCCTGGTGGCCGACGCGCGACGACGTCGTTATCTACCCAGCACGTCTTTCAACATGTCTTTCAACCAGTCGGGGTCGCGCAGAGATTGGCAGCCTGGAGACTCCCTCAGTTCATTTGATCTCATTTCGGGCGGTTGCCGGTTAAAACCATCGCCGGTACAGGGGGAGGGATGTCCCTCAGGTTTTTCGCGAATAGCTCGCGTAAAAAGCGGTTGATCGCGACGAAACTTTCATTACTCTAGCATTGATCAATTTTACACCTACCCTGAAAATTTCATGACCCTGGCCCAAACGACCTTTGACCTGTGACCTACCTTCCGAGACCATCTTTGGACGGAATCGCGATTCGGCGTAAGTCGGCTCGCATTAGCCGTGCGTTTGCAAGCTTTTCGTAGTTTCAAACATTCAAACATGTGATTTGATGTTGCTCCCATGCATTAGGGTCGATGTCATTGTCGCCTGAAGGTCAGGTCAGGTCGTTGACCTTTGATGACTTCGGTTCACTTTTTCGAGTTTTACATTTTTCTAGGCTAATTTTTGGAGCTAAATTTTGAATTTAGCAATCATAAGGGTTCCTCCGTAGTCTATAGGGATCACTTTTCTCATTACAGCAATTATGTTCATACCATTAAGTAGTTTCAATGTTTTAAGCAAAAATAAAGTCTGATGTTTTCCTAAATCACGGATGGCTACATATAAGCTACTAGTGGAATATAAGCTGGAAACTGCTAGAAATAAACTATGAACCTAATTTGACCGAATCGCACCAAATGTGACCAAATGTGTGCCAAATAACAGTCGTGAAATGGCTAATATCTGACATTGCGTAACATTTGGGCTTTTGTGTGGGAAGGCTGGATCTCAACACTTCAGGCACAGGTTTTATCTTATCTAGAGCTGATTTTGTAAGGCACAAAAGGCTCTGTCAATGCAATCGTTAGTTGCTAGCAATCATTTATCATTGTGCCACTATATCTTGCATATCAATAAGCCTTTGTCATCATGCCTTCTGCTCATCTCAATCAAATTTATTCGTAATTTCGACAGCACATTGTGAAACAATAACCAGTAAGACGCCTTTTAGGCGATGAAAGAACGAATGCGATAGTGCAGGGCTGTGCATTCGTGCCCTTGTGCAACGTGAGATCCCAACTAGAGATTTACGTGTCACCCAGCTAGATATTCCTTATACGGCGCAACAGCTTTGGAAAAATGCATCGCCCACTGAATCTACCGGGTAGAGGTCCCAACGATAGATGCAGTTGCATTGCATCTTCATTGGTCTAATCCTTGCGATGTTCTCGTAAATGGTAAAAAATTGATACCCTTAATTTGACGCATATGTGTCGGGACGGGACGGGACCTCGATGCATCATACAAAGAAGGCAACTCAATGATAAAAAATGATTATATCTGGTGCCCTTATTTCGGTCGGGAGCTGTTGCCGAGATGAAAACATAACTTATAATAAAATAAAAAAACAGTCTAGGTTGGGCCTCTCATGCTGAGTTTTTTTTTTCTTCTTTTTTTACAACTACAAATAACTTCGCTCGCTCTTCCTGCTCCCGACCTTTCATTAGTAATATGCTGAAATGGGTGGAGAGGCTTCCAGACTGCACGGAGATGCTTTACGTTCATCGTATATGTCGAGTGATTTCTTTTTTAAACCTTCTTAAACATTTTTTCCTGATCTTGCTGTTGATTAAAGCAGTTACACATTACATGAATAGCTTACTTGATACGAAACAGTAACTTGAGGAAAGCAAAAATAATCATGTCGACTCACAACTAACTATGGCTCCCTTCTGTGACTTGAGGTGACTTTAGACCTCACCAATATTATTCTTCCATTCATTTTCGCAAAAGAAATGCCTGTTCATGTGCTGCGCAATGAAAATCATGAGCTATGCAAGCAAACAAAAACTACAAAAATATGCGATCTAAGCAAACAAAGACACATGCAATGAAACCACATGTGTAAGTCGTGGTTAAATCAAATCCTAAAAGAAAATAATCTAACCAGAAATGCTAAACCAGAGTAGATCTCAGCCGGCGGGTATCGTTTGTTGAGAGGAGCGCTGCGCAGTGCGCACCTTCGAGTCCGTGCAGGAGGGGGCCGGCGGCGGCGGCTGGCAGTGCGAGTGACCCGGGCCTCTGCCACAGTCTGCCGGCCGCGGGCCGCTGAGGACGGCGCCGGTGGTTGTGGTCGACGCGCTGCAGCGCCGCTCCCCACCCGAGTAACGCGAGCCCGAAGCCATGCTGGGCGGTTCGGCTAGATGGGGGCGCTGGTGGCCGGCCCGAAGCCCCTCCCCCGAGCGGCGCCGCGGGCGGAGCGGTGCCGTGCCGCGGGCGCCCAGCTCCAGTCAGCTCGTGGTGGAGACCGATCGGAGCTGTAGCGAGCCGGACCTTCCGGCTGCCGCGGAGCTGGACCTCCCGTCGGACCGGGCCGGCGCGGCCGGCGCCGAGGCCGGCGCCCGCCCGCGCGCCAGGACCTTCTCTCTGACGAGGCTCCACTACAGCGTCTACCTTGAGCCAGACGCAGAGAAGGCGGCGGCGGCGGCGGCGGCCACCCTGCCCAGGACCCGCCCTCCCATCACTATCATCGGAGAGGAGACGCGAGTCACGGACGATGAGCCCGTCGAAGAGCGCAAGCAGAGACGCAAGAAAAAGCCGCTCCGTAAGTTTTTGAGCGTTGACAATTTGCGCAAAAGCGTGCGCAAGAGCAAAGAACGGATGCAGGGCATCGACGAAGCGTTGCGCAGGCAGGCGCGCAACACACTGCGGCGCATGCGCACAGACCGAAAGGGCTTTAGCCCTGCGGGTACGGCGTCCCCCTCAGTGGCGGCGCAGGAGCTGGCGGAGTCGGAGGCGGAGCCCCGTCCAGAGTCCGCAGGGGAAACTGACGAGGCTGCGGAGCAAGCACGGCCAGAGCCCCCGCCGCGGAACGATATCTCGTTCTGCGAGGACTCTGCGACAACCAGCGACGAGCCGTGCGCCTCACCGGTGCCCCCCGAGCTCAGCATCCGCCACGAGTTAGCTATGGTGCAGGGGGCCAGTGACCCGACCGACGCCAGCGCCGTGCCGCGGCCGGACGAGGAACCAGCGGCCGCCAGCGCCGGCCGAGGAGGCGTCGGCTTCAGTGAGCACACTCGGGCGACGGAGGGCGGCGTCATGGACACGGCCGGCAAACGAGAGAGGGGCGCGTCGGCCGCCAGCGACCCGGAGCGCTCCGACGACCACCTGCCCCCATCGGCGAGCCCGCCGCCGCCGCCGCCCGACGCCAAATCTGCCCCTCTGGCCGCGGCCGAGCCGGCGCCGGCCACCGACCCTGACGAACAGGTGGAGAAAGCCGAACAGGCGATAGAGGACCAGGAGCGAGTGCGACCTCAGCGGCCGGCCGATGTCCCAGATAACGAGGTGAGTTTGGTCGGCGATAGTGAGGTGAGTTGGTCGATCGACAGTGGCCGGCCGCGCCGACCCTCGGCCGTCTCGTACGCGCCTCTCCCCGGACCCCGCGCCGCGCCGCGCCGGTCCCGGCCGGCCTGGGCGGCCCGTATCGGAGATGCGTATCACTAGCAGAGGCCGGGCAGGGTTCTTTCGAGTTAAGGCCGCCCCACACTGGACCTCGCATGCGGGTTGCGAGTTTGCGGGTTTTGAGTTTGCGGGCATAATACTAATTCATAGAGTGATTAGACCGTTCTTTATGATAACTTCGTGAATGCAGTGAAGCCGGTACACCTTCAGAAAATTACACATAGTCGCAATACCAGCGCAACGAACCAAAATTCGGCTCCAACGAAAAACCCGCAAACCTCGCAGAACTCGCAGACCTCGCAGCGAGGAAAATCGAAAGTTCACTCAAAATCAACTATTGGAATGCGATGCAAGGTCGCTCGCAAGCTAAAAACATGCAGACTCGCCTGTTAGATGGTAGTGTGGGTCACTCAGCTTAGATTGTATGATTTGAACTTGAATAAACCCGAAAACCCAAAAACTCGCAACCCGCATGCGAGTTCCAGTGTGGGGCGGCCCTTATGGTGTCTTGTTTTTGTTGATTTTGTTTACGAGGAATGTGTTATTGTACACTGGGCTGGGCATAACACACCACTAATTTAGTATTTGAATGCTAGCCTCGGATTCAAGTAGTACGTCAATATTGACATTGCTGAGCATTACAGTAAATAAAACGGTAGGGATTAGGGAACCATCTTTCCTTTTGCATTTAAATGCATTTTTAAGGGGGGAGTTCACTTGAGGCATCTCATGCTGTTCGAAAAGGAAAAGGTATGCGTTAAAAACTTGTACAGCATTGCTAGTCGTTTGCCATAGCGTTTTGTCTCATGAAGAATATCAAAATTGTACCTCTCCCCTCCGTGTGTGACGTTACTTTACCGCGAGGCTAACCGTCGATATTGTCGAGGCAGAGTGTTATGACAAGGCATACAGTAAAGTAAAGAGTTGTAATCATCACACCCTGGACCCGCGGGCATTGACCAGGGTGGAATACTCTGGCCCATCCCTGACCCATCAGCGTTTTTCGGGATACTTTTCAAACAGACTGTGGGGTCAAAGTAAATTTTGTCGTCCTAAGTAGGAGACTGAAGAGTTCTATTTATGCAACTTGGAGTCGGAGTGACAAAATGACCGACACCGACTTCGGGATAGGGTTGAAATAAGCTCAACCAACAGGAGAATTTCATAAAACTATATGGATTCAGATCACTGCCAAATCATCCATCCCTTTACTAACAAAATAAGACGTAATTGTGCAATTTTAAATACTGCTGAAAAACGTAATATAACATTATCCAATCTACATCATATGTGTATCTGTATAATGCATACATTTGAGGTGAATTGTATACGACCATGCTTAAATGTTTGCAATTCGGACGTGATGGGCTTTTATCCATGATGCTAAGCTGTTTGATCGGTCCTGTAGCAGCCTGCCTTGGTGCTCACTGCTAATGACGTGAAAGCAGCGCATATGGGGAAAGTTTGAAGCTTTCTTGGGTAGCGAAATTTATTTCAGTCGTACGTACGAAATTGTACATCTTATTGATTCTACAACACTTGCCCTAGCTGGGATCTTGACCATCCTCTGCATGTGTAGAGTAAAAAAGAAAACGGCAATGCCTTGGCCAATGAAGTGCAGCATGAAAACATCTCGTTTTATTCTGGGAATATGGCTGATACGAATGATATGAATGAGGAGCGGAGACCGGGTTCAATTTGGAGTGGTCGAGTTTGTAAGTCAGCATCCAAGTCAAATAAATACCTACGCTACTGCATCCGGTCCAATGCCGTCTGGTGTATAATAGTTTTGTGGGCATCCTGGCGGTTACGGAGTCCCCCACTTAAGTTCCGACGGCCACGTAACGCTGATTAGCTCCGGTGAGCTCCCACTGTTTACCGGAGCTAAGGACCATACAACACGCCAGCAGCTATGGTCGGCTAGCTACCACTAATTATTTGCCTTGCGAATTACTCGCCACAAGGCTCTCTGCCACTCAGAATTACACGCCATCCAATTATGGGCTGCTGTAAAGGCTCGTGGAAGGTTGCTTGTACATATATTAACGGTCTTCTGCAATGTATTGTTGGGAATGTAATGATTTCAACCTATAAAATGCATGCATGTGTGTTCATTTATATCACTTAGGGAGAATGCTATGAAGGGTTGAATGGAGATCCTTTAAACAAGCGAACCCCATTCCTAAGACATGAAATGCTGTTTTTGGCCAAACTAGCCAGAACTATACAAAAACATAGAAACCATTATTATGTAGTTTGAAATAAAGTCTTTCCAAAATAACTATGAGTGGCAAAAAATGGATGTGTTTACGCTAGCAAATGAGTGTTAAGCATAATAATTATTATGCATAAATTTGTCTTTCTTTAGTTTTTTTTACAGCACGGTAGCATCTGTCATGTATTTTAGAGTAAAAAAAAAAAAACAAAAATCATTGAGTTGGAAGGCAACTTTTAATTGACTAAAATAGATAGTTAGCATCTTTCGGTTTTGATTGCCATGCTGAACAAGCTAGTGATCCACTTTTACTTCGTCGTCGTTACCTCGCGCTATAGGATGGTTGCCCGATCGGGATAGACTGATCTTGATGGTGGCAAGTGGAGGATTGCGTGTGGGTGTTTTTTTCCCAAAACACTTCAAATGTTTCATAAATTCGCCCTTAAAGGTCAGCTTGATATGGGCCATTGGTTTGGGACAATGGCACGAGTTAGTGCTCATTAGGTTATATGAGTTATGATGGGTTGCACCGTTCTCTTTATAAAGACATCTAATTTTACGATGCGTTACACTGTTCTTTGCTCTGATTTATGATGCATTTTTTTCTTATGGGTTGACCTTTCCACCTAAGTATATCTCATTGATACGAAATGGGACCATGGTTTCACTGATTCTGCTGGCAGTCCAAAATCCAGTCCGGTAGACTGGTATAGAATTTTGTATAAATAGATTACGGTACAAACATGTGACAGTAGCAGTCGGCAGATAAAAGCGGGCCGCGGCCCGCACAGAATGAATATCCAGTCTGGCTTCCATCATATAGATAATCTTCCGTCCAGTGTGTAGATCGCAGCTCATATTGACCCTTGTCTGGTTACTAATGACATGTTTTTCGTGAAATGTGATCGAGCCTGACTGTATGGGACGTATCATATGGATCGGACGCCCGTTTGAAAGGACCAGTCGCTCGACATCGAAACTTCCGCAAAAACAGAGAAACGGAGCACGCTGCGTCTGCTGCTTGGGAGTATCCATGACGTGCATCCGCTCAGGATTAACACTGAATTTGCAACCTTAACACCATATACTTAATTGTAATGAAAATAGTCTGATGACTGTCAGTCGTCATGCCATCGTTAAAAGGTCGTCCTGCGGCATATTTGATTACGAGCGAGCGAGCGCAGCGAGCGAAGTGAAGTCTTTTCAATATAACGGAAAAATCTCAGTATGAGCGGCCCGGCCCGGCCCGGCCCGGCCTGTAACGCTTTTGAGAGGCCTATATCTCAGCAACCGCTGGACCGATTGGCCTGCGGTCTTTTTTGTTGGGTAGCCCCATCCCTTCTACCCCGTAATTGACTACTTTTGATACATCTCAGTGACCGTCGTGGCACGTGCCACGGGAAAAGTCAAGGGTGTTCAAGATGTTTTGCAAAAGTAGTGCTTTTGAGAGGCTCATATCTCAGCAGCCGCTTGGGTGATTGACTTGCGGTAATTTTTGTAGGGTAGCAGCATCCCTTCTACCCAAAATAGGATACTATCGATGCATGTGGTTCACCCGAACTGGTTCACCCCAAGCGCACGTGCAAAATACAACAATAAGAGGTGCCAAATTTGTTCCCATTTCAGTAACTCTGTAATTACTGGTGCGATTTCGCTGAAACTTGGCATACAGGTAGGCACCCACCAGGCAATGCATTCCCATGTGTTGCGGTTGGGGTGCTACTGCACGTGCGCACGTGCAGGGGGCGTTTCCAGATCTCGAGAACGGCTGGGCCGATTGCGCTCAAATTTGGTACACGGTTGGGGACCAGTTAGTAGGGTGCCGTGCAAAAGTCATTTTGGACCCCGTTTGCACGTGCGCACGTGCAGAATGCCGCTTCCAGATCTCAGGAACGGCTGGGCCGATTGCGTTCAAATTTGGCACACCGCTAGCGACCGGTTAGAAGGGTGCTTTGCGCAAGCCCGTTGGAAGCACCCTCTCGCCCTTCCGCACGTGCAGGGCTCACTATCTCGCTCGCTCGTTCTTCGCCCAAAAGGCGTTTTACTGGTTTAAAAATTAGCGCGTCACTCTTAGAAAGACGTACCTACCTACAGCTTTCTCAAGTCAGAAGACTGAATCCGCTATGCTCAGGCAGACATGATTGTGTGATATAACACAGCCATATTTACAGAATTCCTCGATGATTGAATAACACGAGCTCACGGTGGCGTATTTAATTAACGTCATTCTTTATGGAATTTACATGAATGGATTGCCTGAATCCACCATGATCGATGCGAATTGCGAACTCTTTGTATTATGTTAACAAATGTTATTCAAATAAGTACATCCTGTCGAAAACGCATCCTTTTGTCGTGCGCAGATCGTGGCGCAAGGTGACAAAAATTATTTTAGCGCGCGTTTGGGGACGCTGGTTTATGCTCGGGTAGGGACCATTTTTGCCCCCTCCATTCCTGCTGGCTCCAAAACCACTGCACTGATTAAAAGAAAAAATAAAATCAAACGGCGATCGACGAAACCTCATGACTCCGTGCAGGGTTGTGCTCGACTCAAAAAAAATTTGCCGACTCGACTCATCATTCAACTTCAGAATGCCCTGACTCAACTCTGACTCAAACAAGGAGCTGATTTTTTTTCCTTGACTCGACTCATGACTCAAGCAGCTCAATGAAAATGAGTTGACTCAAACTTGACTCAAATTAAGTGTTGAGTCAAGTGTGTTGACTCAAAATTGACTCAGATAAAAAAGTTGTTGAGCGGGGGGGGGGGGGTGAAAAAATCCGGCAGCAGGGCCAGGCCTAAGTTGTTAAGCGGGGGGGGGGGGAG